TGTTGGTTATAGTGCAATATTACCTGGTGTGCGCGCTCAATTTCGGTGCGCCGCATCTCCGCATCCCGCAGCTGCATGCTCAACGAATCCAGCATGCCGTTGGGCGCTGATGACTGGTGGTGGTGGTGGTGCATGGATTCGTATGGCATTTTGGCGACTACAAGAAATAAAGGAAAGAAGAAACTTGCATGAGTACCGTAAAGTAAAAAAAAATATTATTTGTATATATTAGTCTTCATTTTAAAACTTCTGTGATTGTGTAGTAGCTCTCATGTGATATGAGGTTTACGTTGATAATAAAAACCTCTCATAAAAATATAGGAATAGTAGGGTAAGGTTAAAATGTACTGGATTCCTGAGATTAACAGCCGCACTCACAGCCGCACTCAGAGTCGTTTAATGATTACCTAAGGTGTCCCTCAGTAACGATTTGAAAAAAAATCCCTCTCAGAGTCAGTTAATGATTCGTTAACGGCATTTAATGAACATTAGAGTAAAGTAAAGAAAAACCATTACTTAACTCTTTAACGTATGATTTTGAAATTTTTTGTTTGTTTCCAATAAATATCAATTTCGACAACGTTGCTGTAACAGTGGCAATGGCCCAGTGAGCAGAGCTTTCAGGAGATCCGAGTTCAATCCTCGGCAAGGAATTCTTATTAATAAAATTGTTTTTAAGTTTCATTGCCTAAAAAATTCATATTCATATTTTTATTTTATTTAACGTTTGGAAATTTTTTTGATTCATCTTTTACTTTCAGTTTCTCAAATTTTTAGTTTTTCCGGTTTTAAAAAGATATTTTTTTTTCATTTCGTTTAGTTTTTAGAAAACTTACTTATAATAATAATAATAGATTGGCGCTTATACATATGTTAGTGTTTGGCCGAACTTCTTCTCCGATTTGTGACGTGCGCCTTGATGTTGTCACACAAAGCGGAGGGACCTACAGTTTTACGCCGACTCCGAACGGCGATTGTATTTTTATGAGAAGGTGTGTTTTTCATAGCAGAAATACACTCGGAGGTTTGCCATTGCCTGCCGACGGACGACCGCTGTTAAGAAAAAACCTTTTTTCTATATTTTTTTGCGATGTTGCTTTTGACCAGGGTTTGAACCCAGGCGTTGCGGAGTGGAAGCGCGCACTGCTTACCACTACACCACAGCGGCCGACGGACTACATTTGTTTTTGTTTTTTTTCAGAAACTATTAACGTTGATAATAAAAATCTCTAATAAAAATATAGGAATGGTAGGGTAAGGTTAAAATGTACTGAATTCCTAAGATTAAGTATGTTGGAGATAATAAAGGGATAATTACGAAATGTCTTTTCTTATAGCGTCACCGATATCATTTCGTATCCGTCAACCTTCAGTCATTATATTGGTGTGAATCACTGTTCCTAAATCCCTCGAATCCCCAACCTAAACACATGATGCAATAACTTTTTGAAGGTAGTTTTACTTCTCCTTCTTAGCCGCTGTGTAAACTATCTGACATAAATCGTTTTTCGTTTTTTTTTTTTGTGGTACCAATTAGTTTAAAAAAAATCCTTTTTTACGTTTGAAAAATAAAGCAAGCTGAAGCCAAACTTATGAGCAGAAAAAAAATCAAATGATTTTCATCATAAATAAAATGTAAAGGAAAAACTAGCTGCTATTCCTCTAGTTTTGAAGTCAAACTACCTTCTAAAAATTATTGGCGATAAATTTTTAGCACAGTTGTTTGTTGAGCCATGGCAATTTTTGTTTAGCAAGTTTAAGCAGTATGTTTTTAAAATACATGTTGCTCCTTTGCTGGAAAAGTGTCAATATTCAAAATATAAAAAATTTCGAAAACCCCGTTTAATAATACAAGTCAAACTGGCGTACCCGACGAACTTTGTCTCGCCCAAAATTTATATTTTGTAGGAACATTTTGGTACCACATTTATACCAACCATTCACTTAAAGACTTCCAGTGGCACAATTATCTGCTCTAAATATGGTTTTGTGGTCGTCAGAAGGCATATCTTCCATTGCTATTTTAAATAACCTAACGAAGTCGGTTAATAAGGCTGATTTTGTATTTTTAATCAAAATTCCATAATACATTGTTGAAATCCAGAAATTGTAAATGGAACCGGTAATAATTTACAACGCACTTCAACCTAAACAATTGTTTAGCATAGATACAATTTTGTACCTGGACAACCATTTCAATGTTAATATTACGATCAAAATTAAAGAAATAAAAAAATAAACGTGTACAAAATCTATGGAAAATCAATTTATTTGGAATTTTCTATTATATTCGGAAAACTTTTTTAGTTTTCGTTGGGCAGAGACAAACGCACCAAAAAAGATAGCTCACATAGGACAATCCGTTCTAATGCTATTCTCGGTATTACGTGAGCAACTTTGTTTTATACATACACGGTTAAAAATTTGGGTTTAATTTTTAAATCGCGCTCGGACTACTACCTTTTTTAATCTTTTATAGTCTACTTTTTAAACCAGTCAATAGTTTTCAGCAATTTTTAATATATTCTGGTTTAAGTTTTAGTCCAGGCAGCCGAAAAAATGCTGTTTTGCTATGAGTGGTTTAAAATTAAAACAAAAATGTTTTAATTCTAGCTTTTCGGTTTCATATATAGAAAATTTGCTTTAAAATCTAAACCGAAATAGAAAAATATAGAGATTTAAATTTTTAAATATTTCGCAACCCTTTTCAAAATTATTAATTCTGGTTAAGAGTGCATTAAAATGCCTAGTATTACCTGAGTACACAGTTAAAAATTTCGGTTTTAATTTTAAACTTTTTGGACTACATATATGACCAAACTAAATACAAACCTTCCAAGTTTAAAAAAGAGAGCCCATACGTTGGGTGTAGAATTTAAACAGTTCGGTTTAAATTTTAAACCCAAACATTTTCATAATTAAGAATAAAAAATACAAAATCTTAAATTTCACGCTCCATCTGATGGGGATTGCCGGACAGCCTTGGTAGCAACCAATTGTATCAAGCATCATTGCACACTCAGCTACAGCCACGCATGTACTCATATGTTGAGTTTGAATCAACCCCACATTTCGCTGTGTTGTTGCCGTCATTTCATAAGATTTGCTCTCTCTCTTTCTGAAAGACATATTTTTGGTTTTAATTTTAAACCACTCATAGCTAAACATCATTTTCTCGGCTGCCTGAACTAAAATTTAAACCAGAATATATGTATAATAAATTGCTTAAAACTATTGACTGATTTAAAAAGTAGACTATAAAAGATTAAAAAAGACAGTAGTCCCAGCGTGGTTTAAAAATTAAACCCAAATTTTTAATTTTAACATTTTGAAGTATCTTCAGTTATTAAAATTTCCAATATTACAAATTACAGATATTCTGCATGCTGCCATTTTTTTAATTTCATGGTACACTCTTTAAACTTCACAGATATGTTCTATTTGGAAACTTTTCAAAGTTATTCCAAAAAAAAATTATTTCTAGTGACAATAAAAAAATTAGTAATTTCGGTACTTCTTCGCTTAAATAAACATTTTAAGCCTAAAATTTGTCAAATACTAGATTTGTTTTTTATTTTACTTGTTTCTGAAACTCCATTTATTGAAATAATTGCAAGAAGAATGCTTCAGCGTTTTTTCCTCTGCCGAAAGAAGGGAGTGATACTAAAAAAACCACTCGTGAGATTTGCACATATACATACACACTAGATTTTATTATTCGCTGAAAAAGTTGCATTTTTTGGCGAGACATCTTAAATTGCAGGCTTCAATTCATTTCTTTTTCCATTTTTTTACTCGAATGCCAACACTGCATCCAAATTTTAAAATAATGAACTACAATGCCTTTCATTCCTTTCATTGTGAGAACTAAAGTCTAAAGTGATGGAAGCAAGAGTGGAGAGAGGACGCAGCTTTTAAAATAGAATGGCTGCAGCCAAAAAAGGAGTTAGCATAAAGTAAAAAAAGGATAAAAA